AAAAAAAAAAATAAAAAAATAAAAAAAATAAATAAAATGTTTTTACTTTGGGAGTCAAAAACATATTCTTCATATTTATCTACTCCCCTCCTCCACTCAAATATATTCTGAATCCCATTACTGCTACAATCTTGATAAATCACACAATATTTGTCTCTTAATGCATTTTAAATCAATAACATCTAAGAAGTTTATCCAATTGCTCAGACAATACCACAGATAAGTCTCAAGGAGGCCCTAAAATTTGTATTAAGCACTACACACATGAACAATTCTAGAAAAAAATTTGCTATCACTTGTTCTACAGATACTGAAAACCATCTAAACTGACTTCTAAATTGTAACACATTAAAAAAAAACAAAAAAAAAAAACAAAAAACCAAAACCTGGCTTTGTACATTCCAGCACTATGACATACCAAAAAACTGAGAACACTAGGGCTTCAAACAAAACAATTCTTTTTAGGTTACGTAAAGGGTAAAGCAAGGACTCACCAAGAAAAAACGTAAGCTAGGGTCTCTCCTACTGAAGGACTATTAGATCATTTTCAACATACCCACAACATCTTTTAAACCCTTGAAATAGAGTGGTCAGCACAGGGCATTTCCCACACGGCCTAGCCTCTAATTCAACACACAGTACAAACTTTCCGTGCCCTGTGAAGTCATCCAGCCGGGTATTCACAAGGGCACACTCACCTGTACCTCGGCCAGGTGGCATTTCAAGTACCTCGGCTAGGAAGCATCTACCTTCCTCCCTCCACGGGCTGGTCTGCGTCCGTCACCCTGCCCCAGACGCGTTACTTAGCCACAGCGCAGACACCAAGTCCCATTTTTCTTCACGTTGCCTAAAACAATGTCACTGTTCAATAAACATTCTTTGAATTATGGAATAAAACCTTACTAAATAAACCAATGAATCCAGCTTTTTGTTTCCTGTGCTCATTTACCTGGGTCAATCTTTCAGAGATATATAAGGTTAATGAATTCTGCATTCTGTTAGCACAGAAAATCCTAAATTTCTAGAGGGTTATGGAAAAGGAAGACTGCAGAAAGCGTCAGTCTCTGAAACTGCTTACAGATACCAGACCCCAGGTTTTCGGCACAAACTACAATCTATAAAGTTGCTACAGCCTCTGAAAAATAGAGGCATTCTAGTTTTAGCCACAGGAAGAGCCTAGAAGCAATGACATATCAGCAGTCACAAGAAACTTGGCATCTAGAACCTGG